ATATATATATATAAATTAAAATCCAGGAGTCACATATGAGAGAAAACATGGGTATGCAACTTTCTTTGTTGGAACATTTTGCTTAAGATAAAAAATGCCCAGTCCAAATACAGAGATCCACAACTAGAGGGTTGTAGACTTTGGAACATTCAAGTCCTGAATAAAATGTCTCCATCAAAACCCTCTCCTTGGGGCTAAGGGAATCCTATTGTCAGAGAGGATGGAGGCAACATGGAAACAAGGCTTTCTAAACACAGCAGGAGCTATGAAAGTATTAACTCACAGATACTGAAACAGCATGCCCAATGCCTAAACAGGTCTAAGCCAGATTTGGACCCAGCATAGAGAGGAAAAGTGGATACATGCTTCCATCTCTAACCCAGTAGATACAACCAATTGATAAAGGCTCACAAAGCAAAAACTAGTTCTCTCCAGTATTGTCTCACTGGGTATATAAACCACATTTACAGGTAGTTGTGTCCAGAGTAGACGGCCAACACAAAATGAACTTGATGGTATTTATAGAGTTTTTTTCTTGTTTTTTTGTTTTGTTTTGTTTTTTGTTTTTGTTTTTGTTTTTTGGAGGCAGGGTTTCTCTGTATAACCCAGGCAGTCCTGGAACTCACTCTGTAGACCAGGCTGGCCTCAAACTCAGAAATCCACCTTCCTCTGCCTCCCAAGTGCTGGGATTAAAGTTGTGTGCAACCAAGGCTAGCCTTTTTGAACATTTTTTTCTTTTAGCTCACTAATCTTTTGCTTGTATATTATGGTTTCTGGCTTTGTGTTTTTATGGTGTGTGTGTGTGTATTTCAGTGTGTGCTCTTAATCTAGTCATTTATTTACTTGGTTTTTTTCTAAAGAGTCAAAGAGAAGGTCTAGAGTCTGGTGAGCATGGAACAAGTATTATCTGGAAAGAGTTGCAGGAAAGGAAAATGTGATCAAAATATTTTGTATGAAAAAAAATATTTTCAATAGAATCACTAGTTCCATCTAGTTTCTTGTAAATGTCATGCCTTTGTTTTTCATTACAGCTGTTTATCTGTTCATATACACTTACTTGTGTTCTTACATGTGAAATTTGAACAAATCAAGCTTATGAAAGCAGAGAATAGATCACTGGTACCAAAATATGTTTTGGGGTTCCTTAGCCAAAAGTAAAACTAGCTGGATTCTGATATTAATTCTATGCTGAGACTGCTAAGTTATTCAAGGTTTAAAGACACATATATACTATCTACACTTAACAAGTGGTAGGGAAGTGAATTACAAAATTCAAAAATTCTAGTATACCAGGCATTGTAGCTCATTACAATCCTAGCATTTGACAGGCAGAAGAATAATCAGCCCAGGACAACCAGGAGCATAAAGCCCATTCTAGGTCACCGTGAACTACAAAGAGAGATCTTGGAGACCCTGTTGCTAAAGGAAAAAAAAAAACCCATAAAAGCCATATAGGAAAGTATTTTTATTATCAAAAAACTAATAAAAACATTATATAGGTCTTTAGATTCATGTGAAATAAAGCAATTCTTCATTTTTATGAAAATCTGGTAATATAATACCATGTAAGGGATCTAGTTGTCTTGGTTCCAGACACAGAAAAAAAATATGCTTGTGAATCTAAGGAGAAAAAGAACAATTTTTTTCCTTAATTAAACCAGGTCAATTGAATCAGTCTACAAATATTTATTAAGTATGTAATTATATAGACTAAATGCCATTTGTTGTCATTATTATTTTATTTTGAGAAATGGTCTTAATATGTAATCCAGGGTGGGTTCAAAGTCTGATTTTCTAGACTCGTCAAAGAGGAAGTCCCACAACAGAAGACCTTCCAGTGACAAAACTACATTCCAGGGGCCAGGAAAGGGCTGTGAGAGAGTCCAGAGGATAGCTAACAATCAGGCACGGCTATCTGTGTTGATGTGGTTGGAACCAAAAGGAAGAAATATAAAGCCAACAGTATGTCCACTGTCTGACCTTATACATTCACATGTTTTGTTTGTTCATCTGAATGTTGATCCTAGAAATCAAAATACTATGTGGCTGTTTAGGATGAATGCAGAAGACAAATAACTGTACAGACGAAATGAAGATAAAAGGTGTAAGTTCATTTGAGACAATCCATTTCAATAAGAATTTAAATTGCTTCCTTACCCCACGGTACTGGCTTTCATTGAAAATCTGAGGTGGTAAGGGGTACCCTGTGGCTGGTCGACTGTCTTCAGGCACATTTTCTCTCATCCACTTCCGATTCTCTTCATTAGCTGCAATATCTTTTTCTTCAAATCCTATTTTGTTGGCTTCTAGGAAACCAAGCACATCTTGCTGTTTCTTCTTAATCTAGGAGCCAAGAGGAGGGGGCAGGGACAATACTGTTAAGCAGATAGCATTTATTGGTTTTCTTTTCCTTCTTCTTTGCTTGAACTCAATACGTTTTATTTAGGAATATATATTTACTCAAATACATACAGGCATGCCATAACAACTGATGGGAAAAGAGACCATGACTTTGAAGGAGAGTAGAGGAGGCTGTGCATGGGAGTGTTTGGAGAGAGAACATGGAAGGAAGAACCATCAATTATGGTCTCAAAAATAAACAAAAATGACCAAGCTTTCTATAATTTAAAAAGTCCATTACTAAGAAGTCAAATAATTTACCATTAAATTCTAGTGATAGAAACTAAAATCCAAGCTCCTAGACAAAAGGCTTTTATTTTTCAACAAATTCAGTGCTTATGAGCCAGCAAACATGAATTTAGACATAGGTCAAACCTGCAGTGGAGAAGATATGTTTTCCCCTCCTTACTGTCTTGTTGATGATGTCTCACAATTAAAGAGCCTGAAGGTCTTTTTTATCTAATTCTCAGTTTGCACTAAAAGCTCCGTATCTAATGATGCTGATAGAATTCTAGTTCATGCATATTATGAATTGTACAAATTATGGTTAATTCAAGCATCTTAATCAGTAGCAATGTCTCCTCTTTTTATGGTTCAGACCAAAATCTATAATGTGAAAGAACTAAGCCTGTCTATATACTAAGTTTGCAATATAACCTGTATTACTCATTAGCTCATAATATGCATAGTTGGGACACCATTCACATGTCAGTGCTACCTCATTAGATTACTAGTAGACTACATACGTGTCTCCTTATCACATCAAGGTCAGAGAACTTTGGAAATAATAAAATTAATACTTCCTAGGATCCTCCTATGAAATGCATTTATTTGAAAACCTGATCGCATATACCTATGTTCATGTAATTATGGTTAAAGCCTCTTCATAACATACTTGAACTATATAGAAAATATGTAAGAAAAACCTTTTTTAAAAAAAAATGGAGTCACACTCAAAGGACACATAAGGCAGAAACATTTAAAACAAAGTAAAATATATTATAAAAAAGTAGTCCGCCAGGCAGTGGTGGCACACACCTTTAATCCCAGCACTTGGGAGGCAGAGGCAGGTGGATTTCTGATTTCGAGGCCAGCCTGGTCTACAGAGTGAGTTCCAGGACAGCCAGGGCTACACAAAGAAACCCTGTCTCGAAAAACCAAAAAAAAAAAAAGAAAAAGAAAAAGAAAAAAAAAGAAGTAGTCCCTTGAGATATTTAGTCATTGTGTTTCCTTAGTTTCTTATGGTGTGTGAGTTCTTCAGACCCTTTTTCTCCATGATCTTGGCAATTTTGAAGTGTACTGGTCAGATATAATGTAATGCCTCTCTAGTCAGACTTATCTAGTTTTTCTCTTTTGATTAACTAGGATTATGAATTTGGGGGAAAAGGGTATAAAAGATAAACAACTTTCTCATTTTATCATACCAGAGAACACCTGATAGAGACCTAACTCACTAGGGCGACATTAACCTGGATTACTTGGTGAATGGGGTATGAGTTAGGTTTCTTCACTACTTTTCTCCACAATGTGTATTTGTGAGTCAGTAAGCCCAGCCTACACTTGAGCAAAGTATTCACTACAAAAATCCAACTTCATAGTGAAAATCTAACAGTACTTTTTAGTTAGAGACTCTAGGAAATTTAAGAAACAGCAACATGTGAGAGATTGCTGAAAAGTAATATACATCCTTCTTTGGGGATAAATAGGATGACTTTCTCATAATACAATATTTGTATTCTTTTCTTCTATATTACATCCATATCACAGTTTCCCCTCCTTCCCCTCCCCCTAGTCTCTCCCCCAGATTCACTGTCCTCTACCTTCCCTCAGAAAAGATCAAGACACCCACCCCCCGACCCCAGGGAAATCAACCAAACACAGCATAACAAGCTACAATAAGACTAGGCACATATCATCACATCAAGGCTGGACAAGGCAACCTAGTAGAAGGGAAAGGCTCCCACAAGTAGGCAAAAGAGTCAGGGACAGCCTCCATTCCTACTGTTAAGATTCCTACAAGAGCCGGGCGGTGGTGGCGCACGCCTTTAATCCCAGCACTTGGGAGGCAGAGGCAGGTGGATCTCTGAGTTCGAGAGTTCGAGGCCAGCCTGGTCTACAGAGTGAGTTCCAGGACAGCCAGGGCTACACAGAGAAACCCTGTCTCGAAAAAAACAAAAAAAAAAAAAAAAAAAGATTCCTACAAGAACACTGAGCTATTCAGCCTTAACACAAATACAGAGAACCTAGGTCAGATCCCTACAGGATCCCTGATGTCTCAGAGCTCCCTTGAGTTCTAGTCAGTTGATTCAGTGCCCCGTGATCTCAGGGTGTCCCTTATGTCACTTATAAGTAGATATCAGTTGTAAAGCAAAAAGACAATCATGCCACGGTCTACAGATCCAAATGAGGAAGGCTGAAGAGGATACACAAGGATCTCCCTGAGAAAGGGAAACAGAACAGCTTTCCAGGGTGATCTGCGGGCAGGTGGAGTTGGAAACAGGAAGGACTGGGTTGGGGAGAGGGAGAAAATACCAGGAGAAATGACTGGAAGTGGGAGATAATGCCAGGGTGAAATAGAAACCCAGTGCAATGGAAACTCCATAAAATCTACAAGAGTAACCCTAGGAAAATCTCCTAGTAATAGGGAACACTTGAACTGGCCATCTTCTGTAACCAGGCAAGGCCTCAAGTGGAGGAATTGAGACACCAAACCAACTGCATAACCTTCAACCTACAGTTCGTCCTGCCTGCAGAGGCCACAGAACCTTTGACCTATGTACAGTTTGTCCTACTTGTAGAGTGTTCTGGGACTAGAGCCTAGCATAACTGTCTTCAGAGAGATCAGAGAAACTTGATCCAGCAACTGATGGGAGCATAACCAGAGTCCCACAGCCAAACATTAGGCAGAGCTCCAGAAGTCATAATTCAATTTTTATTTGTAAACATATCTTTTTTAAAAATCCTTGGACTAAACATGTGAAGTACCATATTAGAGTGATTGATACTTAAATTGCATTCCTTTTAGTCCCACATCCATCCTTCTAACAAGATTTCTTGTACACAGAAATAAATGGAAATAATCAATGTTTGCATACAGATTTTTCCTCCATCCTTACATTTTCCAAAATAACAATTGTGAATCCTAGAACAAAGCTGATAAAAAAACTTTGTACCTTTATACATCACCAGAGTTCTATAAAGTTCCTAAATGTTAACATATTCCACTACAGGGAGACTGCTTGTCTAAGTAAAAATAGATTAATTAATTAATAACATAAAAGCTTTGAGTTCACCTGAATTAGAGAGAAACTTTGAGCTCTCAGAAAGAGTTCATTGCTGTTATCTCCAAATTTATCAGATTTCTAATTGCAGCTATTTTAAAAAGACTGGGAGGAGTTAGAGAGCTGGGTCAGCAATTAAGACCACTTGCTACTCTTACAGGGATCCCAAGTTCACTTCCCAGCACATGTATTCACACACACACACACACACACACACACACACACACACACACACACAC